GGATTCTAAGTCTCCTCCTCCTATATATACTACATACCCCTCTCTCCCATCTCATATACAAAATAAAGTTCTCAACATCAAGGGCTTTATGGAAAGACGAGAGACGAGGGAGAGAGAAACAATTCATAGGCAAAGAAGAATCTATTGTTGGAGATTACGAGACGAATCCATCATTGAAGATTATGAGAAAGATGATCGTAGATCAACATCATAGATGAACAAGGAAGGACTATAGCTAGATTCTTGTAAGTTTCTATGTGCAATTTAATTTATGCAAAGATCCATGTTCTATGAATTCATAGAATTACATGCTTAGGGTTTATTCAATTCCGCCTAATAGTTATGGATATACCCGTTAAATTTCTTACATCCGCAGCCCAGGAGAGAAGCCCAGCAAGGGAGCCCAGTTGAGTGAGGCCCAATTTTCGTAACCCTTTGTGCAACCTGCGTCCGTCCCGAGTCGTTTACCGTGCTCCTCACAACGAGTTATCCAATAATCAAACGCATAATGTTGTGTACAAAAAGGTTTTTAATAATATAAAAATTTTTCGTGACGAACGTTTTATGATGAATAATGTTCGTATGTATTAAACTCTCATATATCTAATGCATGTCAAATTATAATATTCTGTAAATTTATATAGTCGTGTATCGCACGGGATACGCATCAGTTATTAAGGTGTGATTGGATATTAAAAAACGAATCAAAACTCAAATTTTAACTCAATTTTAAACTAATTCTGTTATCTTCATATTATAATAGAATTAAATAATATCAATTAATTATTTTTACACATCGTATCAACTTTAATTGACTACTCATCACTCACATAATTTTAACTAACCATCGTTCTCTGTCATTTTTATCATACTTTTACCTTAAATCAATTTTATTTATTTTATTTTAGATATTACTTTAATATACACATTAACAACTAACCATGCCACATTTTTTAAAATTAGTTATGCTTAAAAATAAAACCAATCAAATTCATATCTGGTCACGCCCTAAAGGCTTTTTCAGATTTTAAAGTTCCAGTTTTAAAAGGATTTTAAAAAGACATTAGGTATTATTAGAATTAAGGAGGTGCATACATTTTTTCGAACTCTTAAAGACTTTATGAGATTTTAATAATCCTTGTATTTATTTAAAATTTTAAAAAATACTTGAAAGGCATTAAATATATATTTGAGATTATAAAAAAGTCTTAAAAAGTAATGTATTTCGTTTGAGATTTTAAAAAGTCTTAAAATTCATGCCCTATTCATATGAGATCTCAAAATGCCTTAAAAATTCATGAGGTATTTATTTATTTAGCACTTTTACTTGCCTAGATGTTTTAAAATTTGTGGAAATTTCAAAGACAAGATTCATGTACGAAATTCTACGCCAAATCCCACCTTCGAACCTGAGATTTATAAGGATTCCATCTAAATAAAAAATATATATATATATATATAAAAGTCTCTCATTTTACAAAATATTAAAATTTACTTAAAATCCAAACGAATATTTCCTCCTAATTATTGCGTATATTTGTCAACAAATGACCCTACGTGCCTACTTATCTTTCCAAATTT